TGAAACACTTTCCTCATTTAGCTTTCAGAGTATCTAATTTCTTAGGTTGTCCTCTTATTTCACTGGCCATTTCTTTCAAGCCTCCTTTGCTGGTTTGTCCCGTAATGATGGCATGCTTGAAGACTCAACCCTGTGCTCTCCTTCTCTTCAATGTAAACCCATGACCTTCATGAGTTCAACTGGTGTTAGATCTTTAAATACCTTCTTTATATGCCTCAACTCCCAAATTTATGTCAACTCTCCAGACTTCTCCCTCAACTCAAGACCGAGCTAGCCAATTGCCTACCCAGCATCTCTACTTTGAAGTCTAATGGACTCAATGTTCAAAATTAAACTTCTGATTTTCCTCCCCAAACCTGCTCACTCCAGTTTCCCCATCTCAGTTAATAACAGCTTCATTTGTTTAGTTGCTCAGCTAAAAAACTGGAGTTATTCTTGGCTAACTTTGCTCCAGTCACACTGGTCTGCTGGCTCTTCTTTTAGCATGCCAGGCAAGTCTCCAATTTAAAGCCTTTGCAAGAGTGTTTCTCTTGCCTGGAATCCAAATGACTACCTCCTTTGCCTCTTATAAGTGCTTCCTCAAATGTCATCTCTTCAATGAAGCCAACTACAATCACTCCATTTAAACCTCTAGCCCAACCACTCTAGCCTACTTATAGTTTTCCCAGTTCCCCCATCTTGCTTTACTTTGTTTCCATACACCTATCACCTTCTAACAGACCATGCAATTTGCTAACATACTATGTATTTGTTTACTTTTTGTCTCCCCCTTGCTAAATTTTAAATTCCTCAAGGGTAGGGATCCTTGTCTGTTTTTGTTCACAAAGGTATCTCAAGTGCCTAGAACAGCACCAGGTACATAGCAGGTACTCAATAAATATTTGTTGACTGAAAAAAAAAAGAACTCTCACCACAATATTATGAGGAACACACAATTATTATTCTTTATCAGATGAGAAGACTGAGCTTAGAGAATATAAGTAATTCATTAAAAGTCACATTACTTATAATGGCAGGATCAAGATTCCAATCTAACCCTCTCTCCTTAAAGCTCACACCCCCTCTTTCACACCCAGTGATGTTTGTCTAAGGTGGACAGAGGACATGGGGAATATCAAGATGAGGGATGCGGTAGGAAGGTGAAGGAGGGGGTATAAATAAATCTCTGTGTGCCAGGCTAAGCAATTTGGACTACCTCCCATAGCAGAAGCTCTGAGTTAAATGGTAGCATACTTAACTCTATATTTTAGAAAGGTAACTCAAACAGCTGCTAAATGAAGCAGTGGAAGCCAATAAATCGTCAGTGATACCATATTTAATGGGACATAATCCAACTCTAAGATTTCCACAGCTGAAAATGACTTCTCTCCTACTAATTCATTACCATCTAAAGCATTTACCATAGCCCTCACTTAGAAAAAGTTTGACACAGCATAAATAGTTATGAAATTATACTTTATTCATATATATTAAATATTAATGAACTAAACAAATGAAATACTTTGCATTTGGGTACAGTCACAGTTGTCAGTGATATTCTGAAGCACCAGGCATGAGATGAGATGCTACGTTATTATCAAAGGACAAGTCATATGATCTGACACATTCAAGTGCTGTGTGACATGCCATTAAAGCAGTGGCTCAGAATGCAGACATGATTTTAAACACACAGTGATTGGATGGCATCATTTCATTTATAGGTGTGCATTATATCATCAACTGAAATAAATACACAACACACAGCATCTTGCTTAGGTTGGCTCCCTAGTTGGCCCCTGAGATAAAGCCTTATAATCACATAGTCTTGCCTAGTTAGTCAGAAAAAAAAAAAAAAAAGGTCAAGTGAAATTACCCCAGGATACAAGAATTATAAATAATACATATATTAATAGGTACTCATTTTTATCACATAAAAGTGGTTATTATAAATACTTTGATGAGTTTAAAATATACTCCCCATATAAATAATGTAAAATATTAAATAGTAATAAATAGATTTAGATTTAAAAATTCAAATTTTGCAGGCAGGATGGCCATTATTTTGATGCTCTCCGACCACGAAACAGGCTCTGACTCCTTTTCCTCTTCCTTAGGTTAGATTTTGGTTCCAGTTCAGTGATCACATTGAAGAGTTCAGATATGGCCTTGCGCTGGACCATCAGATCATCTACCTATTGGGAAAGAACACATTAAAATTAATTTCAGGCATGCAAGCCATCAGGGCATTCTGTTGTTAATGTCATGGTCAATTAAAATGGAAGTATTCCTTTAAAAACATACTTTTTACTGACAATATGTTACCTTAATATACAATGGTGGCTTCTTCAGCAGTTAAGACTAAAATGATAGTTAAATTGCTAGTTGTGCTGTAACATGGTGGGCACATGATGTATCCTTAAATTTACTGCTATAGAATTCTCAAAATTATATAGTGAAAGGAGCCTGAAAGTGGAATGACAAAAATTGTGGGTTTGAATCCTGTGTGTGCAATAACTTTGACTTTGAACCAGTCACTGAGCCTTTGCGAAATCTCTGTTTTCTCATCCCAACTATGAGGAGATTGTTTAGATGACTTCTAGGCTCTCTACCAATTCTATCATTTTGTGTTTTAGCCTTGCTTTAAGTATCAAATGCGTTACTACAGGTCAATGGTTCTCCCCTTTTGTGTACAGCAGAGTAACCTGGAGACCCAAGGAAGAACTCAGAGACCCAGGTGCATGAAGTCAGAGGGGACCTAGGCCGGTGTGTGGTCACTAGGTTCCCCAGGTGATGCTGATATCCATCAAGGTTTGAGAACCACTTATACAGGTTTAGTACTTTGTAAATACCATGTCCAAGACAAATGAATACTATAATGTTTAATTTTTCCCCAAATTAGGTAAGTATCATCAATTCTATAATGAGATTAAAAATAAAATGAATCATTTTTACATGACAATAATTAATTACTGGTATAAACATTTAAAATTGAGAATTGCAGCAAATTTCCCTGTACTCTGCCTCCTAGTCCAGCGAATTAACCATTTCCTCATTGTAACCAATAGGAACATTTATGTGAATTCATGCTTACTAAAATGAGGACCATTTGCTTTCATCTTGGTTCTGCCACTACGTTTCTTTCTTCCACCTTGCCACATTTCTGAGAATGACTAGGAGGATTCTAGGCTGCAGGACTAATCAGTAAAAGGCACAACAGGCCTCAAATATGTTAGCAATTGGGCAAAAAAGGACAATGGCTGAGAGCTCACTCAATGTTGCCCATATGAAGCAGGATGCATGGAATTTCCAGAAAGATGGGACCAACAGACTTTTTTCAAGGCCCAGTTACAGCAGAGTAGAAACAAATTTCTACTGGCTGTATGTTTGTAAGAGATAAATTTTACTTTCTAGTGTTCAAAGCATTACCAAGAAACTATGAGACTTATCCAGGACTGAACAGCAAGCCAGGGACAGCACTGGCTTAGGAACTTCTGTGAAATCAGCCTCTTAGCTCCTTCAGTCTCTTAGCCTGTGGCCAAGGAGATCTGCTGACCATTGGAAAACACTATTGACCATTGGAAAACACTATCAGTGGAAAGTAATTAATTAATTTTAACTTTTCCAAGGCACTTTTGCATGATCTAATGCATTGGGGACTAGAGAAATACTGAAGAACAAGCACTTATTTCAGTTCCTAGGGGCTGCTCTGAAAGGGATGAGAACTGGCTGCAAATCCTGAGAGCACAGGTTGCAACAGGACCCCTATCTTTCTCATATTTATATCAAAGCCGAACCCAAAGGAATCTGGAGGCCTCTGTCTCTTAGATAAAATTTTGGAAAATGTGACTTGTCTTTATGCTTCAAAGTTATCTTGCAGCTTCTAGACTCAAGCTTTACAGATTCAAGACAACTTCATGAGCTAAAGCTTGGGAGCCTAAGGGTTTCTTCAGCTAAGATAGTCTGGTATCCAAAAATTGATAAAACAATTATTTCATAAGGTATAAATTCTACCGTTTTTCTTTTCTGAAAGCAAGCAAACAAACACTCTTGCCTCTACTTGGGCTGCGCAGAATGAGAGGTTGGCCAGAGCCTGACAGCACAACGCCCCTAAGGCCTCTTCAAAGGCCATAGCTTTCTCCTAACTCATTCTCATTTTCTATCCATGCCATTGTAGAGTTTGAGAGCAAAGGAGACCACAGAAATTACAGTGAGCCCAATAGACTCCCTTTAAAATGAGGAAACTGAGCCAAGCCTATGAGTCATCGGAGTTCACACAGTTCCTTGGCAACCAAGCTGCGAAGAGAACACAAGTCTCCTCTCCCCTCCCACTGCTCTTTCCATTAAGACAGGCAGCCTCCCATCCAAAGAAGAGAATTTCCATCACACAAACAAGGGGCAATGAGAGAACTGCCTCTCAATACTTCCTTCAACTCATTCACCATTTCCACCTCAGTGGATTTGTCCATTCACCAATTGTCATAATGCCAGCATTCTCCCAAATCACAAAATTAAATAATCCCCATAGTGACCTGGCAAAATCACCCAAAAACATGAATGGACTTAGTAAGGAGGAATTTGGGGCATGGGTGTATTTCACAATTTTAACAACTGTACCCAGTAGCTAATTTCTACTTTTTGGGAACTAAGTACTTTTTGCAAGAGCTTCTGCAATGAAACCAAAAAAAAAGAATTAAGATCTTCTCACCGGAATTTGAATCAGCGTCTTGAAGTCTTCCAGTTTACGGTTGCTGTTATTGAAGAATTTGACACGCAGGTCTTCCTCAATAGCTGCCACGCTACTTTTAATGAGCTCATTATCTTTCATGTTTTCAAAGAGTTTGAAGTAGATGGAAACAATTTGGCTCTGAATTATTTTTTTGTCACTCTCCTTGGGAGGAAAGAACACAAAGAGAAGTCAGTCTGAATTTATCCATCAGAAAATAAGCAACAGGAAAATCAGCTAAATGGAAATATTCAACTTACCTCTTTCCAATTCTTCAAAATATCTAAGAAAAGATATCCACCATCCGCTACATCTGAATTACTTGCATTCTGAAAAAAAGAAGAAAAAGTTGGTTTACAATTAGTCCATAAATTGCCCGAAAAGTGTACTTCAAGTTTTATTGCACTCAGATGTTGACAATTTCACAGATTTTCTTTTCAACCTTCTGCTTACTTCTAACAAGTATTACCAAAAGCTATTATGCTGGATATAGCCAAAGACTACCATGCTATTTTAACTTTATTATGTTCTAGTATAACACTTAAATAGCAATATCACAAATAAATTCAACAAAGCTGATGATACTTCAATTGTCCCAAATAACTAATTTTAAAAAAGTGTTCTCAAGCCTAGTTTAAAAAAAAAAAAAATCAGCAGCCCTCCCACTATAAAATACTGCCCCCTTATGGTAAAGATCTTTATAACATCTACCTGTGTCCCCTACCATATTACAATACATCAACTTTAAAAGATCCAGATGTGTGTGTGAGATTTGATTTGATGTTATGAGAATAAAATAGTTTGTGAAGGCTTGAACATATGTATAACAGCTATAATTATAATAGTTAAATTTTGAAAAAATAATAAAATATTTAAAATGCAAACACTATTGAATTAACCATAAATAAAATGTTAAAAGAAATTCATACAATGAAACAAAAAGATATTTTAAAAAACAAGTCAGATTTTAACTCCTATGGAAACTCAGCAAGGAACTGAGTTCAGGGGTAATTCATAGATGACATAGATGGGGTAGTAGAATTTTAAAATCTTTTTTTTTTTTGGAGAAAAACACCTATAAATGATTTTTTTTTGGGAACCAAAGCTTTAAGGACCTCACCTTCTTTAATTGATTAATTATCTCAGATTATCATTTTTAATGCTAATCTTGAGTCTTTACTATCACCATCATGGTAGTCTGAGAAATCAGAAGCTAAAAGCCAGTCATTTTTTTCCGTACAGATACTACTCGACATGACAATTGAATGGATTCGCACCACAAAATTATCAACTTCATCCTGCTTTATACCCATATTATGCCCATCTTTTGACAGATTTATGAATGACCCCTTAATCTCTATAGCAAATTGAGGAGAGGGCTAAAGCAAAATCTAGATCATTTAGTCAAAAACTCATCTAGTCAATAATCAAAATAACACCAACCCTTCTCAAGGTGACTGTGGACTAGAAATGACAGCCTATCATAGACACAACTCCAAGTCAACGTTCATTCATTTCTACCACAACAAGTATTATTAAAAGGTCATACTCACAAAATATTCCTTTAGGTAATCTATTCCTTTCCAAACTGTAGTCTGGCAGTAGCAGCCAGAAGAACCTAAAATCACGCAAAGCTGAAAAGCTAAAATATAACTTGTATAATTCATTGTTTTGGCAAGAGTTAAGCCGAAGTTGATGAAGTCAGTGTCAGTAGCTCCTGTATTAAGTTGATCAGGTCCGAAGGACTTAGGGGATCTTTCTCTTCTAATAGCCGATCTGCAGATGATCAGAAAAAGTACTGCATCTCCTTTTGCTGCTGGTATTTATACCTAATTTGAGTCTCATCAGGATTACGTATTTTCACAAGTTTTTTAAGATGAGATGGTGACAGATAGACAGAGATGTTAGTTTATATTAATAACTTTGGTTTGTGGCATTTTGGTGTTGTAGTTAGAGTTTCCTTTCAACTCCTTGGGTCTTTTGACGATGAGACAGACCCTTATGCCCACCAGTGCCATTCTTGTGGGATCCTCTGAAATCACTTTTACTTCACACCATTCAGGGATTGGAATTTTTTTTTGCACCTCCTCTCTTTGCCCTTGTAAAATGTTGACTCCAAAGTGTTGACAGAGCACATTGATCATTTGTTTGTGGTCGGGAGCAAGAGAAAAGGAAATTCTAGGGGTGCTCAAACCTTTACAAAGGGGGTGCCTTTTAAAATTTTTCTTGCAAATGGCTAGAAAGCAAGGAAAGAGTGTGGTTAAAAGGCCAGTGTGGTGAGGGAGTTCTTCCTTCATCAGAGTTAGTACAATATCTACCACAGTTTTAAATTGCTCAGTTTAAAATGGATCAACACTGCCCAATAGAAATATAATGCAAGCCAAATAGATAAATTTAAATTTTCTACTAGCCCCATTAATAAAATTTAAAAAAGAAAAAAAAGTAAAAATAATTTTAAAATATATTGTATTCAAACCATATGTCCAAAATATCATTTCGATATGTATCAATATACCACATTATTATTTTACATTCTTTTCATCATACCAAATCCTAGAAATCCAGTATGCACTTTATACCTACAGTATATCTCAATTTAAGACTATTCATATCTCAAATGCTCAATAGCCACATGTGGCTAGAGGCTACTGTGCTGAACAATATAGCTCTAGATGATCAATTGTCCTAAATTATCATTAATAATGGAGAATATTTTTACGTTTTTCTTTCTTTTCCTTACCAATACAAAGAAATAAGATTCTTCCTCCTCCCTTAGTAATTTATTATATTTATGAGGTAAAACATATGGGGACGGCACAGAAGGCCCACCACTCTTTGGTTCCAGCCCATCTTGCATTTCAACCTGCACTGTAGGCACGAGAGTATTGTGTTTATGGATGCAACCTTGAATCCTGACTACTATCTAGCTATGTGATTTTGAGCAAGCTTAACTCCTCTATAACTCAGGAATAAGCCTAATATTAATCTCCTTCCAGGCTTCAGTTAAAAATTAAATCACATGGTACATACAAAGTGTTAAAAATTTCTCCTGGCATGTAGTAAGCATTCAATAGTTATCTATTGTTATTTAGGCATGTTAGATGACTAGTCGTTCCTGTACAAACACACCCTGAATTTATGCTTATGCTATTCCTTTGGCTTTGATTTCTCTTTCCCCTCATCTGTGCCCCTGAGGGTGGTGCTCATTCATCCAAGCCCAGCCAAAAAACCATTATCTCCAACAGCTCTCCCAAAATTATCCTTCTCAAAATTAATCTCATGTCCCCTGTACAGGCCTAGCACTTGGTTTATACTTTTCTTAGAGTCCTGATCCCTCAATCTCACATTAGAATTAGTTACTCATGCGTTGTCTCCCATTTTAGGCTGAGTTCCATAAAATCAGAAATTGTTTCATTGCTTCTCTGACAACCTTTTCTTCCCTAAAAGTTTTTTAGCCTGGAGATGTCCCCACAGATAGCACTGAATAATGCAAATTTGAATGCTTAATTAAGGATCTATTTTGAGGGGTTTTTTCCCCTCAAGTTCTAATTCCAATGTTATCAGACCTAACTGTAGGAAACCAGTTTTTAATTAAATAGGATTTATGGTTATGTTGGAAACATGATGCTATGTTTTTAGCCAAATCTTGCTCTCTGGGATAATTCCATGTATTATTTTGCGAAAAAAGCCAGAAAACTCTTTGAGTGGCTATCTTCCCCCAAAATAAACAAGATCAAAACGTATCTGCAGGACCAAAGCCTCATGTTAGGCTAGAAAAAAGTGTAGCAAATATGCTTCTGCCCACAAATCTCCAGTGTGGCTCTCCTCAAGGAAAACTATGGCCCAGGCAGTGTGCTTAAGGTGACACAGTGACAAGAAACACTTATCAAAGCCTGAGACACACTGCAGACACCCAATACCACCCAGGAAACCACTGGCCAAACTCCAAGTTACCAGAAAAAATATTGCCAACTTTCTGGAAAGGAGTAAAAATTGGTTCTGCCCATCTCTTGATTTATCCACTGAAATAGGGTGTTAAAGGTAAGGAGTTAAGAATAGTGAAATACACAATTGGGAATTACGTATTACCTGGACATTTATAAATTGAGAATGCCTATTCAAAATTACAGATATATATCATGAGTATGTTTACAATGTGGCCAAATGTTTAGATTAGTAACTACGTGGCTAAAATCCAAGCTCTAATAACTCTTGATGGCATGACCCAGCACAACACAGAATTATGGAATTATAGAGATTATCTATGGTCTAGTCACTCACATTTTAGACTTGTAAATCAAGACAAGACCCAGGAAAACAAAATGCTATGCTAAAATTCATTCAACTGGATAATGCAAAGCTGAGTTTAGAACCAAGACCTTTCCCTAATAAACCTGCCCCCACCCCAATCAATTGGTATCCATTATGGTTATTGTATGTGCCTAAAACTGTGTAAGACATGTGAATTCAAATAATTACATCCTCTCAGGCTTTGGTTTCTGAGATTTTCTTTTTTTCTATAGAATTTGTGAGCTAATACTCACTTTTTAATGCCTTACAAACTAGTAAGACTGCAAATAAAAGTTTTAAAACTCTTAGTAGACATCCAAGCAGGCCCAAATTCATGGACATGAGAAATGCACCATCTATTCCAGACCCCACACTTAAAACAGCCCACATTTAGTGTAATGATCTGTTGTTACCTTCTTGAAATTCCTAATAATTTTTTAACAAGGAACCCCATTTTCATTTTGTACTGGTTCCTGCAAATTTTGTAACTGGTCTTGCATCCCAGGCTAGAAGTGAATCATATCTTATTAGATCTTTCAATATACAATTCTTTGGTTCAGAATGTTGTCACTACAATAGTATATCATTTTGTGATCTTTTCCTGTCTTGTCAACTTTACCAAAGAAGACGTTTCTGTCTCTTTTCTGCCTGTAAAACACCTCAGGTTGCACATGCAAACTAGAGGTTTCACACTTTGTTGATTCAGCCAACACTGAGACTGCAGAATAATTCACCACCAAGATATCCTTTCAAAGTTTTGCAAACCCATCAGGAGCCAAAGTGTGACCATATTACTAAAACAAAGGGGCTAAAAACTTTCTTTTTTCTTTTCAGCTAGACTTTCTTTCTGAAAACTGGCTATGGTCATGCATTAAGCGTCAGCAAGATTTTTTATGGTATCTCATGCTATCCTCCGTCTTAAGTGAGTAGGTAGTCGTAAGACAAAACTTACACCTTGGTTGCCCTTTTTCCTCTGTGATCAGCAGTCATATCCCTAGCACTCACAACCAAATTATCTCATCCAGACTTTGGTATAGATTTCTTCCACCGAGTATGAGTCAATATTGGATCCATACCCCCACGCTTGACTCCCCGGAACTCCTGACATCACACAGGCTGAGCCTACGGAAGAAGAATGACATACAAAATGGAAGTCCACACGGAGTCAGTTTTTCCCCGTAATTTGACTCATAAAATCCTATATGTTAAAGGAGGGTTTTCTGAATCCTCCTTTTTCTTTCATGCCATCTGGGCAACTTTGAGAGGTGGTTCAAAGAATATAGAAAATACTATACCTATGTAATAGAGTCACTCGCTTATAATATTTTTAGTTTTATGTCAGATGGAATTGTGCATTGGTAATCTCTAATTCATGGTCATGCTTTGAAGGTCATATTTTTATTCCACAAGGAATTTTAAAGCACCTGCTAGGTGCCAACTATTATGATTGACTTAGGGTTACCAAAGAAGAGTGGGACAGTTCTCTTGTGAAAATAGTTATACCCTAATTTCAATCAATTAATAAGTCCTTATTGAGCACTATTGTATGCCTATAGCTTTAGGGTTTATAAAGAAGTTAACAGTGAGACAATCTGGCAAGAGCATATGTCATCACATTGGTAGCTAAGGTTGATTCCTCTGCTCTGCTTACTGGGTAGGAATCAATATTTCCCTTATTTTCTCCATGTACACCCTTCCCAGAGGTTTCATATAGTTGAAGAGTATTGATTATTTGGCAGAGGGGAAAACAAATCTGACATATGTATTGCATTTTCCCCTCCAATACCCATGGCAGATGTCACTAGTCAGTCACAGCATTCTTTCCTACCCAGTTTAGATGTAGCCTCTGAATCCTTTTCAATACTGAAATCTAGAAAGATAATATCAATTTATTAAAGCTTTGTCATCTATTTTCCCTGTTGGGATTAAGGTTCAGTTGTTGCTATGCCTCTTAGGTATATTTGCTAAATGAGCTTTTTCAAATTACAAAGAAGTGAAAGACATGATCTCTTCTTCCAAGAATATTAGTACTTAAAAAAAAATTACAGTGAAGCAATATAGGAGAAAGACATTTGGCATAAAAGGAAGGAGTCCCAAATCCTGGTCTTAGATCTACTACTGGTATGTTGTGGGATTTTGAGCAAATCCTTTATCTATGCCTTACATCTCAGCTACATCATCTTAGAAAGAAGAGTTGGATCCAATGAATTGTATTTCCTTTCATTTCTAACATTCTATGTTTGTATGACTATGATTTATGAAGAACATAAGACATTACTAAGTACTGAGTTTACATGAGGTAGAGACTCCAACAGACTTAGGAATTAAAAAAGAAATAGTTTTCTGAATGATAGAAAAGTTAAAGGGTTTCATAAACTACTTGAGTTTTGAATTGATGTTGAATTTGAGCTTTGCATTTAAATTAAGCCTGGAAATATATAGCTATATAATTTGTAAGGTCAGATAAGGAATAAACCT